GTCAACCAGCGCCGCCGCAATGAGTTTATCTTCCTCCGCCGGCGGCGGGTGACTGTCCCAGAGCTCATGGTGGCGGTTGGCGTCTCCTGCGACGATCGCGGTAGAACCGAGACGCCGAACAATGCTTGCAAGTTGAGCAGCATGAGCCAGTGCCGGTGGGGGGTTGTAAGAACTCACCACGCACATGCTGGGAAAAGCAGGCGGGAACACGCGAACGGCAATAGCCTGCAGGGGGTCGGTGCCAGGGAGCGTCAGGCACTCGCACGGCAGGGTGTGGCGGACCAGAACGGCAACGCCGCCGCCGCGCCCGCCGCAGGCCCGGTGGAAGTCCGTGTACCCAATGAACTTCGTCGCCGTGGCATGCTGGCTCTTGACCTCCTGGAGGAGAACGATGTCTGGCTGATGCCGGGCCAGACGCGCAGCTAGTGCGATGTTCTTGACAGGCGAAAGGCCCGCGATGTTCAGCTGTCAGACGACAACGAAGCCGTCCTCATCGGGGCCCGGGTTCTTACGCGGAAATCCCCGCAGCGGGTGATGTCGACGGAGTGACTGAAACGAATCGGTCGTGCAGTTTTGTCGGCCGGTCTGCACGCAGACCGCTTCGCCTCCCCACACCGGACACGGCGCGGAACCTTCTCGAGGGGCGAGGTCGTCCTGGTCTCCGTCGCGCTCGCGGCAGTGCCCCGCTGCGGAGTTCTCGTGGCCCAAAGCCTCGGCACCGCGACAAGGAGCGAGTTCGTCGCAGGGGGAAAAAGGTCCCACAGTTTGTTCTTACAAGCCTGGGCCGGGTCCAGGCTAGCGAGACCCAACGGGTTGCGAAGGAGCCGAGCCAGTCGCCCACCAAAATAGAGCCCGGGCGCCCCCAATCCCTCCAGGCCGAGTTTGGCTTTTCTGTGCCCCGCGGGGAAGTAGCGTTCCGGCGCCTCCTCACACACAAGCTGTTTCTTAACCACGGCGTAGTATTTGCCCTTGCTGTGAGGTCTGCCAGCGTGGGCGCCCGCCCGTTGGCGAGGGGTTGAGGGGCGGCGCGGCCACTCTGTGCGCACAATTCGCGCCGAGGAACCTTTGGCATCGGTCCCGCCGCGCCCTCTTCACGGTCATCGCATGGTCGTTTTTTCTGGGGGCGCTGCCTTTGGACACGGCCAAACAATCCCTGGGCGTGACTTGCTTCGTGCGCCGTGGACAGATGCTTCCGGAGTGCGTCGCGGGAATCACAAGACTTCTCACCGGCGCGTGCGGGGGGAGGTGCTCATCCGCTTCTTCTTTTTTATATGCTAATTCGCCCGCGCGGGGCGGATTTCTTTTTTCCCCAGCGGGACCAACAAGGCCGCTGGGCGGACGCCCCGCATATGCCGGGGGAACTGCCGCGACGCACGCCGCGTGCCCCTGCGCTCTCAGGGCCATTCCGCCCTCCCTCCGCTGGACCCCGTCCTTTCGCCGGGGCCGGGATTCGGTTGGGCGCCCGGCTTGCTGAAGCGGCGACTGCTGACCGCTCACGGCCCGGGAGCAGAAGGGTCGCTTCGGTACGGCGCGCCGCCCACACGCGACGAACAGCCCACCCGACGTGTTTGACCCGCAAACAGCAGAAGCATTTGAGGCGCTGCGGGCCCTCCGTCGCACCGAATGTGGGGAGTATTGCATAGTCGCGGTGCAATGGGAATGCGCGGCGGGAAGCGGTCTGGGCGAAGTTTTCGAGCATGCGCACGCGGGTCCAGCTGGGCGCCCACGCGCGTTTTGGGCAGCACGGGCACTCTAAGCGACCAGGGTGGCCGCGAGAGAACTCAGTTCACCACAGGAGCCTTTAGGGCGTGTTGGCTGCAGCGGTCGGCCTTTGTGCCAATTGAAGTGAAACTGCGCGCGGCAGCGCTTGCCACAAGCGGGGCATCGAAGACCGAGGACGCGCTGATGGACGCGCTCTCGCGGCGGCGGCCGGGGTTGTGGAGGAGGCGACGGGGCTCTCGCGCGCGGTGCGGTGCGGGCCTCGCGAATCGCACTCACACTTGGGGGGCGGGCCTATCGTGTGCTTCGTCGTCATGTGCGCACCCGAAGCGCCTCTCCACCAGTTGTCGTGAAGACGCATTTCGCGCAGACGCTTGCGTGCCCCTCCGGCGCGTCCGCCAGGGCTCCTTTAGCCGCCCTTAGGGCCCGCGCCTCGCCGAGGCCACGGTGGCTAATCGCAATGCGTGTTCTCGCGCGAGTGAGCGCCTGGCGCGCAGGCCTTGAAGCACGCCGGGCAGAACAGTGCCTGGCACGCTGGGACTGCCAGCGGAACAGCCGGCGTGTGCGTGTGCGGGGGAGAGGGGTTTCCCCGAGGAGGGGGGTCCTCTACGCTCGGGGCAGCCGACACCACGGACA